CCCCCACCCGTACTGTTCTGATTGAGTAAAACTTTGACTGTGGTTCTCTTTATTGGGTGAAAGAACCGTTAGTTTAATCCCTAGATGGCTTTAACAATTTTTCCGCTCCTGTTCATTTTTACAAAGACGAACACTCGCTATTTTTTTCTTGGTTGTCCACTGGACAACTGGGAGGCAGGATCTGGTTGTCTGAAACGAAAATAGGTTGTCTCAGACAACCTAAACAATGATTGTGTCAACCCCTGTAGTGCAATTAGTTCCAGTGATAAAGGTGACCAGAAAAACAATATAGTCAGGGTTGTGCAGTTTAAAAACCAGTGATAAAGTGAACAAGGCAGAGTTATAGAGTCAGGCAGTTCTAAATGTTCAAGAGTCCGACAGCAGAGGAGAAGAAACTGTTCATATGGCAGGATGTTCTGGTCCGAATAAACCAAAACCTTCTGCCTGAGGGGAGTGGTATGAACAGGCTGCATGCAGGGTGAGAAGGGTCAGCTTTTGGGCTGGGCCATATCATATCATTCATGATAATACCGGTAAAAAAAAGAACTTGCCCGGGAAAATAAATTATATGCTAATTTCATGACCGACATCATTTTGTCCATGTCGTAAAACCTGCTTGTTTTCTGTTGCAGTTTCGTTAAAGCCGCCCAGTCTGATACAGGTTTAAACAGACGCTGCTTTCAACAAATCAAATGAACCCCACAGCTTTATCCAATCAGAGCAGAGCAGGGCGGGTCTTTCTGATGTCGGTGCAGAAGTCTGCAGGATAAACACCAATCAGCCTGCAGCTCCTGACCTGGGTGAGCAAACCCCGTCCTCCACACTTTGCTCCCGAACTACCTGAGACGTTGGTAACTAAAACCTAACACTATAAGTTTATGTGTTCAGAGCGTCGTTATCTAACAGATATGTCCAACTTTGCTCACGTGACCAAACTCCTCTCTTCAACTGCGCTGTTACAAGAGCGCATTGAGGTGCACACAGGCTGAGTTCTGTGAGAGAGACAGTTTCATCTCTTCCAAAATATTAACTCAGATGAACACTTTGCCCCAGTATAGAAAAGACGAGTCTCCGCTTAGTGTTAGCCCCCCCGCGCACAAAAAAACAAACAAAAAAMCCCCCCGTAAGGTTATGAATATAACCACGGTTCCTTGAAGGAATGGAACGAAGTACAACACACAGTTGTATATGGGACACGCGCTCTCGCGCGCCTGGCTGAAGCCACCTCTAATCACGTCTTTAGACCGGTGACGTAGTGACGTTGAACGTCGGGTGACAGGCTCCTCATTCACCCTATAAGTTCGGAGTCACCAGCGTCATTACTCAGTTAGATACCGCCCTTCACCGAGCCTTTGTGATGCGGGGCCAACAAGGTG